ACGGCAGGACTGCAAAATTAATTCTGGAATTGGAGGGAACATTTGTATTGTTGTTATTGTTGGAAAGATTGTCATTATTTTTATTGGAAATGGTGGGATTATTGTTATCACTAATGTTTGACAGCGGGGTAGCAGTAGGAGAGCTGAACAAAATTTTGTTAATCAGGTATCTGGGATAACCATTATTGATAAATAGTGTTGTTTTCGTGAATTTGAAAGATGAAAAGTAATGTCGGAAACGCCAATAAACCTAGTCTTCTTTTGTTTCACCAAATTTATCTTTATCTTAAGTTTATGGTAAGGCCTGAAATTCAGGGACCTGCCTGATGCCATGGGCTTTCTGTAATTCTGTACCAGTCTACCAAAAAGATATTATTGTTTCGGGTGATTTTGGAGTCCAGGAATGGAACTGATTGGTTATCATCCTCTTTTTTCTATGGTGAATTGAATAAAGGGATCATAGCTGTTTAAATAGTCCACAATACTGTCCAAACCGTCAGTGGGGAGACAAACAATGATTTCGTCGCCGTTATAGGTCAATACCTGAATAACAATATCAAGCAGGTCATCCATTACGGATTCTGCTAGGATTGGTGATAACACTGATCCCATTGGACACCCATGTGTTTGTGAATTGGTTTTGTTGTTAAAGATAAAACAATTGTTGCCAAAAAGATATTCTAAGACGGTGATAAAGGATTCCAGAGTTGATTGCAGTGCTGACATATTTGATACCAATGCTTTTAAATGGATCTGATGCAAGCTTCTAAGTAGACATTGCTGGAAAGTAACAGAACATCTAGACTTGCAATAGCATGTGGTATCTGCATCCTATTAAATTGTCGAGATACATCAATGGAATCTTTAATGTAGTATTCACCTTTGATGTGGGCTGACCTTAATATACCTGAGATTAATGAGGATGGAGCCTGCGTAGCTGGACTGGATGACACTATAGGTCTTACTGAATGTATTGGTTTGTGTATTTTAGGGAGGACATAAAATTTGGGTGAGAATGAGTTGTAATAAATTAAAGATTTCTTTTGGTCCTGATTTATTTGTCCAGTTTTTTCAGTATTTTACTTATTTGTTCGCCATCACCGATGAACGCACATAAAAAGTTACTTTATCACTGCCATAGTTGAAGCTTTGTGTCAGGATCCATACAGTAATTTCCAAACTATATGAATACAGAGCCTCGTATCTTTTCAGAAGAAATCAGTTTAAAGAACGCTGCTCTGACTCAAAACGGTGGTCCACAGTCAGAACCCAATTGATCTACGATATAATAATTAAACATTTGAATGCTGAAGAATGCACACACCGCTAAAAGGTCCTGTACCGCTACCACTGGTTCTGCATATAGCGTCAACAACTCCCGTTATAGGTGCTCGGTGTGCTAAGAATTTGCTGCAATGCGATACTCGTCAAATCCATTCGGCTGTCAAAAATTAGCGAGTGATTTTACTGTCCTGTAGGTATACATGTATACTGATGTATAATAGATCACCTGATAATTAGCGAATTTGTCCACTATTTCAACGTATGTTACGTATTGTATGACCGACAATAATGCAATATGTGTCATCATCAAGAGGTATACTTTTGTTAATGAAATTTGTAGTTCTTGGAAATCGGTCCAGTAGTGGCAGAGATGAAGGCATAAAACTAAAAAACAAAAATTGATCAATCTTCGTTTCTTAACGTTTCTCAGAAAAGGTTTTCAACTGTTAACAATTGGGGGTTGGGGTTATGGGGGCGGGAGTGGATATATCTAGCCTCTCTGACTGACTTGATCCATTAATTTTTTGTTATACATGTGCGTAGCTAACCTTTTTTCTCAGGGGGCCTCACTTGTGCCGAACGTAATCCTTTATAAACTAATGACAGAGTCAACCTACTTGATCCCATTCTTTGAGCTATCTGATTATACCACCGTCCCTCTTTAGAGTTTTTCTTTTACTTGTAATAAAGATATTCTCAGATCGTCTAAGTTTACAAGAAAGAAAACATTATAACTGCATCTTTATAAGTTGACCTTTAGATACATAGTGTTATGTAAGTATTATTCATTTATAATATCCTAGCTGTGTTGAACATTTCATCGTTATGCAACAGTTACCTTTAGAATGAACAAAGGTATGAATAATGATAACTTCGCGTGAGTTAACGAAACTTTTGAATCATTGAATGTGGTCCATCCTACTAATACATACTTAGTTTCTACTTTCAGATAATCTGTTGTTAAAAAGACATACGTGAGACAAAAAGTTATTTCTCTACCAGCATCTCAGATTCCTTTAGACCCAAACAATATTAGAATGAAGTAGGTTATGCAAGCAATTTTGGACTCTTGATTAAGGTGAGAAGTACGCCTACACAATGCTCCAAACATATTAAGTAGTATATTCAACTATCAAAGTCCTGCATCTTTAAAGTGGACCTCCCAAATTAGATGTTCTTAAGGTGATGAACGAGTACAGTAAAATGTATAAGATTGTGTCAGGTAACATATCCCCAGATACTACTACTGGAAGTCGGTAATTTCCTGTGTGAACGCTACAGGTTGAGTCCACCCTGTATGAATGCAAGTTAGTAATTACCGGTTTCTCATAGATCTTTTCATTATGTTTTGATTTTGAACATGGAAAGTATTGCATAATATCGTTTAGCGCAAACAAATATGCGTAGAAGATTTTGGACCAACATTTTGATGAAAGCTGTATACCGGGTGTAGCAAAAGTAACGGGGTGGCTCTGTACTTTTTCAAGTAACATATCTTTAAAAAACGTCAAGATCAAGTCTTCACTAGCGTCAATTAAGAAGTTAAATAGTGACCATGAGTTCAACCTTATGGCTCGCCTTTAAGGTTATTTCAAGCTCAGTTTTATTTTTTAACCCGGAAAGCCCTCTCACCTTCAATCATAAGAACTGAACATCCTAGGTCCGAATATACATTAAAATCTATGGACGATGTCACCCCCAAAGTCCAAAAGGAGGTTAAATGTGTGAGGCTAGGGGAAATTCCTAGAAGCCTTATCAAGATTACTGGCAGGATATATCTTTAGTAACTTTTCAATGGATCAAAGATCAACCTTGAACCTCATCTCAAAATAATTTCTAGGTCAACCTTTTTAACTGGGAACTAAGAAAAATTCGCACAAAGACAGTTATAGATAATAAGTACTCTTCCTGTTTGAATAAACTTTCCGGTGTTCCACAAGGTTCAGTCTTGGGTCCACTCCTTTTCAGCTTATACACAAGTGACTTTCATCAATTTGTTAATTATTCTCAGATATATATATATATATATAACTTGAGACGTGGTCATTGTCGTCTAGACCAGTTAGGTGAAAAATTAAAGCTTCCGCCTTTTGTTGGGTACTTCGATAAAATTTAAGCAAAGAGGACTCTTTATACTTTTTTAATTCTCTCTAGCTTTCAATGGACTTTGCCATCATCATCAGGAGCTACAATTACATTGATAACAGTTGCAACAATAGTGTAAAATGAATTTAAATTGACTTAACTTACAGTTACACATACTACTGTAAGTTAAGTCAATTTAAATTCATTTTACACTATTGTTGCTACTGTTATCAATGTAATTGCAGCTCCTGATGATGATGGCAAAGTCCATTGAAAGCTAGAGAGAATTAAAAAAGTATAAAGAGTCCTCTTATCAAAGGTTACTGAAGGTCTTACCTTGATTTTTTCATCAATTGCTCTCTAAGTATCTAGATGACCTTGATCTCAGATAATAATACATATTCTGGTATCCATTTTAAAAACACAGATGACCTTGAAATCACCTTCAAGGTGGGGCTCAAGGTCAAATCCAGGGTTATCGTTGAACCCCTTGTTCAAAGTAAACATCTGAACTTGATATTTTTCAAAGATATCTCACCAGTATAAATACAGATCCATTCCGTAATTTTTTTACACCAGGTTTTGACGTAACCGGTTGAATCTGGCATTTTGTGGTAGACAAATCTCTAATAAATATGAAAGTGTGATATTGTAACTAGTTCACCTTGTATACACTCTTGACAGTGCGATCGAATATCTGTTATGGGAACGAATCTCAATAAATCGGTGTAAAGCTCCATCTCACATGTCTATATGCAATGTTAATGTGGTACCGCTCACATCCGTACCCTCCAGCTATACCAACACTCACAGATGTGCAGCGGTACAAACGACATAAGCTAACACTGTGTGTTTACTATAGGTGCCAGTTCTACGAAAACAGTTCATGCTTCAAGTGTTTGGCTACCAAACGGGTCAAATAAAGATACAAACTAGTAACAAGAAAAACGGATATTTTGAATGTAATTTTAAAAATTGGCGCAAAGTAGATTGACTCTGGACTTCCCACGCAACACAGTCATCATTTCAAACAGGATTATATTCTCCACAAGTTAACCCCCTGAAAAGAGTACGAGCATGTGTAACATAAAAAATAAATAGATCAGGTGAGCCAAACAGGTCCATACAGTATAGGTACATTTCGAAGAATTGTGTCCCTACGACGGCCTGCCGGTGAATTCCTGTCATAACTTTAGCTCAGAAAGTGCCTATTTTGCAAAGATTGACGAAATGTCAACTTGAGCTAATAAACTTTGTAGTTTGTACGTTTTAAAAATCGATCTAATATCTAAAGTCTATGTTTTTCGTTTTTTTGTTGTTAGACATATACAATATTTTCTTAGATGAATTAAGGTTTTGTTGTCAAGTTGTTCGGCAAATTTCAACTCTGCACACTTTAGAGCGTAGTCAAGGAATTTTGCAAGTATCTTAAAAATGTTAATCCTCTGTAAGTCCCCAACTTAAAGCTACAGATATCTAACTTGAAATTTTGGTCTACCCACAATTATCAAACATTCTAATCTTTTAACGTCTCTCTAATCAGGTAGTCATACTGACGCTTTAAAAACACTTGTTATGATAATAACTTCTTATGTGCGTTATTCGAAGATATTCTTTACTATAGTTTATATTTATTCAACCTCTGATATCTTGCGCTTTAACAACTCCGTCCAGAGCAGAGTTGAAAATCGCTTTTTTAAAAGGACGATTTCTTTTCGTTTCGCCTTGGCAAAAATTCTTGCGGTACGCCAATGCTTCGTCCTAACAAAGATCATCCACCCCCTGGAGTGTCGCCCATTTATACACACAGATGTACAACCTGTAGAAACGGAAAACAACACACTTGCTGCATCGTTGCCATTGGGCTGCGCTCCCTGTCGTCCCGATGCAGTGGATTCGAGGATTTAACTACCCTGCCGCTAAGAGGTACCACACACCTCACAAATTTGTTTCCGTACCTCACCCGTTTTCGTTCGTTGGAGACTTTAAAATTATATTGCAATATACTTACTTAGTTACGATAATTTGCATACACTTTCTCTGTATGGGAGATATGTTCCTGCATCCCAACGTGGATAACTTCAGTTGTTGATAAACAGACAGACGATGTATTCAAGTCAGCGAAACAAACATGCCAACTTTTGCAGTCTGGGCGAGTTTCTGTTGTCACAACCGACTCTGCCTGAGACTCGACCTCTACAACACCGTTATCTGAGTTACCCAGGATAGACGGGACAGAAGGGCTGTGAGAAACAATATTTGAACAGAAAGAGATCCAGTAGATAACTTGCATATGACGAAACGCTGGGAAAACAAGGACTCGTCACCATCTAGACACTGTTGGTTTTGTATTCTGCATAATATATTAGATCGAAATTGGAATATGTTTCGTTAATTTGGAACACAATTTACTACTGCTACATTGATTTTTATCTTTCAAAGTTGAGGGTGCATATCCTGAGCACGGATATCTGAAAGTTTGTTATTGTCTAGGTTTCAGATGCAGTCTTTAGAGCTGAGAAGGAACTGTGCGTCAATTATTTTTTTGCATAAACAGCTGCACAATCAAATTGATGCTAATGAGATTGTAGCTCAACAACCAAAAAGCGATTATGTGAATCAATAATTATTTCCAAAATTTTATATGGAATCAGAACGTATTATCCTTGCTTAGAATGTTTTCCTACAGACTACAAAAATTTAAAATTCTTGTTACCGCTTGACTAATAATATGATCACGTAACTGGCCCAATCTAAGATTTAGGATGGCTTAAAATTAATAACCTGTTAAAATATTTATTTTTATCATTTATAAAATTTATTATAACCACTCATTATGGAACAAGCTAAATTTTAGAACAAACATTCATGATTAAAATTTAAGGTATATGAGTACATTATCCTTACCAAAACATAGCACAGCCATGCTTCCGCGTTCTTACTCATATAACGCCGCCAAATATTATAATGCCTCATCATACATCAATATTCTTCTTATAGCACTCGCAGTACCTTGGTGGTACTTAGGCGTCTGCATAGTAATAAAAAAACCTCTTTTCCAAGGTGCATGGTCTACTTTAGTCCCGTCACGGCTCCGTGCTCTCCCTCGAAAAATCTGGTGCACATAATGCCGGTTTTTTCGCCCCATTGCCCTTCTAAACCGTAAAGGGGACGCTAAAAAAGTGTTTACGAACTGAAAATGTAGGGCTGTGCATTAGATGCACCTTTCTGTCAACCGTGAATTGAGCAAAACTAAATAATTATTGGCTACGTCACAGACAAAACAAAAATTTAAGATAGATTGTGTAATAATGTCCAGTCTAAACATAAAAGCGCGTGTCACTGAAATTGATGACCAATTTAGAAGAATCGTTGGTTTTGAGTTCAGCGTTAAAATGAGGAAGCAGAAGTACTGTGTCGTAAGAAAGTTCTTATTTTGATGAGACTTTTGATTAAACGTTTGGAGAGTGTATATTAATTTGAGTAATTCCATTCGGACAAGTTTGAATAAGATATGAGCAAAGTGGATCAATTAAAATTTGGAATCTCAATCTGCTATAAAAAAAGGAAACTAACGAGCATTTGTTAATTTTTTCGTTTATTCGAAAATTTGAACCTAGGCATTCAAAATGAAACACAATATCACCCAAATGACGGCCACGGCTGGCCCGAAATTATCTCATCCCATTAACTCAATTCTCGAGTACTTCTTCAATTATTTAGGCTTGGACCTTTCAGATTTCAGGGCCTCATTGTCTTTGGATGGTTAGAGTAACACTCATCCTCAACGGATTCACACAGAAAGCAGTCCAACGGGTTCAAAACTCAGCTTCAAGGGACGAGTCTAGAAGGTATTTTTAGGGGAGTCCATTATGACGAATTTCGTATACAAATTGAAAACCACGCCTGTTTTCAGGGATGGATGTACAGAATCTCAGTACATGCCCTGAATCTGCCCCTGTCCAAGGTGACGAATTAATATGCTCTGCTTTCTAAAACGGTTGCAAAAAGTTTAATTGTTACGAATAACGTCAATGTCATTCTCCTTAACTTGTATCATAAATCTGTTAAGCCTAACGCGTAACGCATGTCATTGACTGAAACAGCAGCTCCTCACTCATTTTCTAAGAAAAATGGCTCACTGATCCCTCTGTGGATTTTCTGATCTACAAATGTATCAATTTAACATAGTGTCATAGTCATAGACCGAAAAGTAACTTCACCGAAAAGATTTTCGATAAAAATGTTCATCCTCAGTGATTTTCAGCCCATTGGGAGAACTGAACACGCATCGCTTGCTCCCATTTCATAAATGTCAAGCACAAAACTAATTTTCTGACACATTATAAGTGAGACTTCAGCTTTTGATCTCAGCAAATTGTAAACACTATGACCCACCCTTAATATAATGAATAAAATTAAAGGTGGTGCATTAAGACTTCACTGACGTTGTGGCTGCAATGTCAGAGAAAAGTAAGTTTTTCGAAGATTTTTCAATCATACATAAAGAAAATCTATGCCAAAAATCTCGCCAATTTATCTGTCGATCTGTTTAACACCACTATATTTTTGTTGTATTTTTGAAAAAGTGATATATTGATCATTGAAAAATTCTAGACTATATATTTCCGAAAACTTTTGGACGTGATTAAAATGTATATTTAGATGGCTTAAATACATTTTGTGGAACATCATTTCTGAGCATTCTTCCTTGTAGACCTCCTGAGCCATTTTTTAACAATTTCTGTATATACAAGAGTCTCCAAAACTTTCCTCCTGAATTCGAAAAATGGATACTAATGCGATCCACTCTTCAAAGTTCAAAAATAAAGAAAAGCAAACTTCGAGTTCAAAAGGTTGGTATTTATGTATATTAAACGTCAGGCGCCACTTTATATATTACAGAATATGTTATTAGCTCCGGAAATATATCTACTTCATTCACATTCCACAAGTCTGTACTGTAAGTACACATAAAATCTTAAAACTACAAAATTGCTCACCTGGCCAATGTGTCGTTAAATTTTAATAGCCAAAGCTTCCAAGAATTTTAATATACAGGGAACAGCATAACGCGACCTAGTAGTCCGAGATCCCGCAGTCCACTTCAATTTTACGAATATCGTATCTTCTTACAGTACAATCATATTTATATCGCCCTGTATAGGGCACTGATAGCAGCTGTCCCGTAATTTCGATCCGGAAAACTTTTTAGACGAAAAGCGAGATAACCGAGGTATTTACTATGGAAACTGACCCAGGGGGGTCAGGAAATGGCGCTTCCACCATGGCAATGGAGATGGAGTCGAAGGAGCAGACCATAGAGGAGCTGAGAGCCGAATTGGAGATGGTTCGACAGGAGCTGTCAAAAAAGGACGATGATAGGAAGACCAATGAAAGATTGATGATGATCATCGAAGCCCAGCAGCGGACAATTACCGACCTAACAGTTAAATTAGACCTTCTACTGAAAACCCAGGTACCTTCCCATCTAAATATTACAAATTCTTCCCAAACACTTCTAAAAAATCCCAGTAAAGACAAAGCTGTCAATCTTAAGAGACCGTTAAATAATTCAAGCGATCTTTCCACAGACGACGATACACTCCCTGACGGTTTTACCAAGGTTAAGTCCCGTAAAACGCGACGAAACAAGACCGACACGACAGGCTTTCCTCCTCTCCCTCCACCAAAATCGCAGTCTGAAACGTCTCATTCAACTGCAAGCGACTCGAATAAACAGCCTGTGCCTAATCTATCGGTTACTTCCACGCCTTCGACATCTCAGGTACCAGAAGACACGACTGCACAGCCCCCATGCAAGGTACGTGTTACCCCCATCGTTCTTCGCGATGCTTCGAGATGGCGAGGCGTAAATCAAAAGTTTATTTCTTTGGGCATCAAATTCGAACGCGCGGTTGCCGTCGATGCAGGAATCAGGATAATTCCCAAATCCGAGGATGATTACCGCAGGATTATTCGTCTCTTCAGGGAGGAAGAGGTGCCCCATCACACTTTCCCTCTACCCTCCGAGAGGAACATTCATGCTGTAATCAGAGGAGTACATCCGACACTTTCGGAAATTGAGATCAAGGAAGAGTTGCAACAGAGCGGATATTCCCCCCTGCACATAATTCGCCTGAAACGCGGTGGCGGCATGCCCATGCCTTTGGTGGTAGTCATACTGCCCAAGATAGAAAAATCTCAGCAACTGTTCAACGAACACGAGCTGTTAGGTTTGGCTATCCGAGTCGAAGTTCAAAAGAACTCAAGACTCATCGGGCAGTGTCACCGCTGCCAAAAATATGGGCATGCGCAATCTTACTGCACTGCACCACCTAAATGTCTAAAATGTGCTTCTGACCACATGACCCACTTATGCCCTCAAACAGAACAAGAGGAACTAAAGTGCGCGAACTGTGGAGGGGGGCATCCAGCGAATAGCCGAACTTGCAGATTTGCCCCTAAGAAAAATCTGCAAGTGATAGCGCAAAGGCGCAATGTAAGTTACGCGGATGCAGCTAGGGATGCAACCCGGGCTGTTGGATCTTCTGCGAACACGCAAAATGTGGACCTGGCAACCGCGCTAAGGTCCTTACAGCAGATCATAGGTCCTCTGATTAGCGCAACATAGACTTTGCAGGCAATCTTTCCTGCAAATGGC